GGGGGGGGATGTTGGGGTTTTATTTCCCCTCCTGTGCCAGGCACATCAAACAAAACGCCAATTCCCTGACCTCCTCTTCCCGCTGGACCCCTGATCGGAATGGATCCGATGCCACTGGTACTTAAAAGTCTTCTTCCTTTGATTTAGAGAACTAAAAGTCACATCTGCTTTTTGATTCGCAGAGTAATGACATGCAGCAGCCCGCGCCAAAGCTGAGCTCATGTTATTGAAACCACACCACGCAAAGGGAGACAAAGCTCAACCTGGGAGTCAAGGTGAGGGAGAAAGTCAAGTTTGCAAACTCTCTCCTCCCTCGCCATCGCAGCATTCCCAGGAGCCAGGATCCGCTGCCGTGCAAAGAAATCCCTGTGATGCACAAGGTTTACAGGGGCTCATCCACCTCGGAGTTCGCCTGCTTTTCCCTGATCCAAGTGGAGCAGCAACCAGGAGCAGAGCCCCCCCCGCCCAAGCCAGGCTAGACACGCTGCAAAAAGCCATCCAAAAGAGATCACTCTGCATTCTCTTATCTATAATTACTGATCAGCTGGAGCACCACCATCCATGGGAGGTTTCTGGCAGGGTAATGAAATCACTCACATTCTTAAGCTCCAAATTCTTTGCCCAAACACACCCCAGCATCTCCTGCGACGTTCCCACAGCGGAGCCATCTCCCCGCTGCTCAGACGCACCATGCACAGCTCCCCATGGGGATCTCGCGGTTAGAGGCGTTAGGCACCCTGCTCAGACAGCACATCAATAATCCACACCTCCTCTGTTTTATCACCTGCACATCTCAAACTGCCTGAAATCCCATACGTGGAGAGGATTTCATGGCAGCCTGACAAGAAAGCAAATTCGTAACTACTTCCAGTTAGGAAATTCTTGGGTAAACGCCCCAGGACACGCAGCATGTTCCATCCCATGTTGCTGTAAACTTTCCAGCTCACTCTCCAGCAAGCCTGGGAAGCAGGTACCACAGCAGGAAAACACAGGCTTCTCCTTTTGCATCGCCAAGTCACTCCTATTAACTGTTTCCAGGAATAACAAGATGCTCGGCATTTTTGGTCACATGGATTCCTGCACTCTGCAATGCAGTAAACTCGTCTCTTCTTCCAAAGCTTTGCCAAACACAAAGCCCTGTGTTTAAGTGAGGTTCTGCCCTGATGCTACACGTTCCCACACACCCAAATCAACTGTGGGTATGCTGGTCTCTGTCCCAGTTTACAATGGTAAAAGGAGGAGGTTTCTCACTGCAGCCACTACACTCAACTGCCCTTTCCTCTTGCAACATCAGCACCCACAAAGCTGAGATTGAGCTCTCCAGTTCTCACCCTGCCCCACCAGCCCCTTCCCAGAGCACCCTCACAAAGTCCAGGCCACTTACGACTGATGGACGCTGCAGTTGTAGAAAACAAAATCCACGGAGGCAAACTTCTTCCCTGTCTCCTTTGATTTCAGGTAGAGCTTCACCACTCGCTTGTCCCCTAGGAGAGATCCAGGCAGAAAAGGCATCAGAAAGGACACAGTGCTTGGCCCAGGATTCATTCAGCCCAAGGCTTGAGATGGGCTGGAGGGAGCTGGGCTCAGCACAGTTAACTAACAAAATGCCCTGAATCTGGAAATTAAAAGAGGGTGCACACACCCTAACAGGTCTGCAGAGCCCAGGCACAGCTCTGAGTCCCTACAGATAACCACAACCTGCTGCACAGGCTGTGACTTGGGTATGGAATGGGAGCTTAACAGTTCTGGGGTCAGCAGAATGCCCTAAAGCCCACGGCCACCTACATCACATCTGCCCAGGAATGGCCCATAGGTGGGAATGAGGCCAGGAGGCCCAGGACTGGTACACAGACTGCTATAGTGCCAGCAAATAGCTGTGCCCATGGCTTGGAGGAGACCAAGGACCAGTTCCCCATGAGCAGTGATGTCCTTCTCTTCCTAAACCCCAAGAAACCAACTCAGGTCCTGCTCAGGAGCCAGGGATCGCTGTCACAGGACTGTCCTCCTGCACATCTGCCTGCGGGGCCACAGGTGGGACAAGGTTTGTCTCAGGTTTGTCTGTCTCTTTCTACCCACCCCAGGGCACAAGCTCACCACGGCCTCTGGTGATGGGGATGACATCCTTGGCAGAGGGAGAGCTGCAGTAGATCTTCCCATCTTCAATGCGGCTCTCGGACTCGGTGAAGTCTTCAAAGGAGCAGTTAACTCCTGCTGAGAGGTCTGGGACATTCCAGGCCTGCAGGACCAGCTGGGGAGGGGAGACAAGAGCATCAACATGGAAAACCAGCACAAAAGACTCCTCTGTGTCTGCTATGGGTAAATCCAGCCAACAGAAAAGACATGGGGTGCAATCCCTCGTCTGCTACTCACACTTAGCAAGTGAGGCCTCCCTACTCATGCAAGGAGCACAGATTTAAATGGGTTAAGAGACGGAATGACTCACAGCCTCCATCCTCTGCCCCTGCCATACCACAAACCATTATGTCTCACCTCTGTACAGAGAGCAAGCACAGTGTCAGGACTAAAGAGTGTTTCACAGAAAGGCATCCACTCTGGCAGAGCTGAGGAGGGGAGGAATCCACCTCTTCCTTCACAAAGTCATTCCCAGGGTCAGCAGTTCTCACTTTACAAAACGCTTGCCTTATTTCTAATTTGAATTTTTCACAGCTTCCAGCCATTAGTTCTTGTTATGCCTTTCCTTGATAGATTAAAAAGCCCTTTAGTCCCTGATATTTGCTCCTTGTAAAGGCACTTATACTCTGTAATCAAGTCACCTCTTAATCTTCTTTTTGATAAGCTAAGCAGATTGAGCTCTGGAAGTCTCTCACTGCAAGGCATTTTCTCCAGCCTTCAACTCATTTACATGATGTTTATGGGAGGATTTCAGCCTCTCCCTTGCAAAGCTGGACTCCAGCCCCAGCACAGCATCCCTGTATGGACCACACCGGACACCACGCAGGATCCTGCCACCGGTCAGGGGGTTAATAACCACCTGAGAGGTGAACACACCACCCAGCTCCCAGCTTCACCCAAGGAGCATCAGGAACCCCACAGAGAGGGCTCTACCCTGGTACCATGCCCCAGGACACTGGGTGGATGTCATCTTCTCCTTCTAATTTAGACTTGGCAATGCCAATTCCCTGCTAAACCAGCGCCACTCAAACCCAACTGCTCTGAAAGGAATCTCATGCCATACCATCCCCATCAGCCCCAACAGGTCCATCACAGCCACCTCGCATTCATCTCCACATTACCAACACACGTTAGTCCCTGCAGAAGCACTTCCTAAACCATTTCCATCCAGTGACAATTCCCCTCTGACGAGGACTTTTGGAGATCTGTCACGGAGCCAGTTTTTAATCCTCTTAACACGTGCTTTATCAATATTGTATAATGCTAATTTTTAATCAGAACGTTGTGTTATACCAAGCCAAATGCCTTGTAGAAGCCTAAAGACATCACATCCCCACAGTCCTCCTCCTAATTCAAGTCATAATTCCATCAAAGAACAAGACGTGGTTTGTTTGACATAAAAGCACACTGACTGGCATTAATTGTGTTTCCATCCTTAAATCTTTATCACTTGCATCCTACACCTGGTTCCAAACCTGATGTCAAACTAAGCAGCCTTTGACCGTTTGGTCGTTTTTGTACCCAGGCAAAACGATAAGCACCTTTCCCATTTCCAGGCCTTTTCTCAACATCCACTTGTTTATCACAAAGTCATTACTACAAGTATCTGCAGGCCACAGATCTCCATGGCCAACTCTTTCAGGAATGCTGAGTGCCAGATATCTAGACAAGGCAGTTTTCAAAACTTTATTGCTCGTAGACGCTGTCTCATGTTCTCTTCACAGTGCTAATGGCCTGGAAAATACTTTGGGGAAGTCCATCATCTTTTTCTGTCTGCACTGAAAGAGCAGCGAGTTGTGCATCAAAGTCTCATCCCAAAATATCCACTGCAGGCCAGAGTCAGAGACACGCTATTGAGCTAGACGGATCACTGGCCTGCGAACAGCATCTCTGATGTTGGTGTTTGGCTTATGGGGAAATATTTATTGCTCTGGTACGTCTTTTCTGACTAATCATCAACTGGTTTATTGTCTCCATCAATAGGCCAGCCCTCAGCAATGCCCTGCACTTTGCTACCTTGCATTTGTCTCTCTTCCTCTTTCTCCTTAGTTGACACAGACTCAGCAGCTATTTCCAATTGCTGTCTCCCCTCCATCACCTGCGGAGGGTCAGGAGTGGCTGGTGGGGCTCCACGGGCAGCAGAGGTGACTTACCGGGACCTCGGACATGGTGACGGAGATGTTCTTGGGCTGGACGGAGAGCTGGACGCACTGCCGCAGGTCGGAGGCGAAGCGCTGCGGCTCGTCCGCCCGCTCGCACCGGTCCTTGCGTGAGCATCTGGAAGGGATGGGAACCACCCCGGTGAGGAGGAGAGACCCTCTGCCATGGAGGTGATACACAGCTACAGGGACCAGGGGTGCCCAAGGGCTGTACGGGAGCTCTGCTTTCCCCGGCTGCCAGCACTGGGGACTGCTACGGAGTTTTACTATGCTAAACCTGGAAGCCCACGGGCAGGATTGATGGGTCCTGCCAACAGCTTCACCCCATAAGGCTGCTCATGAGCACAATCTGGGCACTGCAGGAAGGGATGACAGACCCCTTGGACCACTCCATGCACCCACATTATGTGGCCAGATTTCAGGAGGGATGTCCCCAAGGAGACCAGCAGTGGGGACAGACATGTTTTGCCAAGCACAGTTCGTTGCCCTGGCCCCAGCGACCATCCTGTGACACTTACATGTTGTGAAGGACGCACCAGCCGCAGTGGGGGTCCCGGGAGCCCAGGCACAGCTCACAGCTCTCGTACTGCTCACAGCTCTCCACCGGCACCCGCGTCACCTGCAGGAAACCAGAACACCCAACTCATTGTACTATTCTTCACAGAATCAGACTGGTCTGTGTTGGAAGGGACCTTAAAGCTCACCCAGTGCACACCCCTGCACAGGGGACAGAACA